CAACAAGACGATATGGCGTTGATTTTTTGAGAATTTATTTTTCTTTTGCAATTTAACAATGAATTTGCTGCTTTATGTGGATATGTATGAGTTAGTGCTTATAAAAATTACAGTAGTCCTCGTGTTATTGATCGAGGGACTTAAGCGCATTTTTGTGTTGGCGATCAGTACTTGATTATCTAATTATTTTGCGTTGATTTACAGATCATGAGAAGATTGGAAGATCATTAATTTCAGTGTAATTAACAAATAATTACAATGAATTTCCATGTAGAAAAGCTTTATCATTTAACAGTTTTTGAAATTCACATTTTACAACGGCTAGAAAAAATTTGAAATTATAGAGGTAATGTTGAAATTATAGAGGGAAAATAAAATTTGGGCAGGTTACACTGAAAACAAAATAAAAATCATTAATTATAGCACAAGTACATGGTTTGAATACTTTTAACCACTCGATGCGCCAATAAATCGATAGTAACGGAGCTAATAAAACAAACCCGAGCTCTCTACGATGTCTGGTTATAAAGTTTTTCTTTGCCCGAGCAGTCGAACAGCCGAACAAAGTGTATTATTAAGCTACCTTTTAGAAACAAGTTTCCAAAATGCGCAAAAAAATGGAGCAAAAGAAAAAAATAAAATCGAAAATTTCTGTTTAAACAAAATCGCAATCTTTTTGTCACCGCAATGAGTTAAATAAAAATGAAAATAAAGTGTTAAATTTAAGATTGTTCTCTTTTTAAAAACTTTGGAATTATCATTAAGAAATTCGATAAGTAGCAATCTAGGAAGATTTGCCACAACAATTATTTTAATACTTTAAAAGCCTTCATTTGCCTTCACAAAAAGAGATTTTAATTGCAAGGTCATTGTAAACATGTGATAAAAGAATGTTACTTGATTTGGCATCAAAGTTTCTTTTCATTTGTCATTAGTCATGTTTTTTTCTTACAATGTAATAGTCAGAGGTCGAAGTTGGTGAAGTGAAGTCGTTTCACTTCACTTCACTTCACTAAAATTTCAATCGGTTTTAAGTCAGCTCGAGTGAACTCATTTTTTTCGTATTCACTCGAGTCGACTTTTAACCGAGTTGATTTTTTCGTGTTCACTCGAGTCGACTTTTAACCGAGTTGATATTTTCGTGTTCACTTTAGTCGACTTGAAACCGACTTGATTTTTTCGTGTTCACTCGAGTCGACTTTTAACCGAGTTGATTTATTCATGTTCACTTTAGTCGACTTGAAACCGACTAGAGTTCACTAAGGAAAAAAAAATATATTATAACAAACTGATTTCTGCTAGTGCTTGTGAAGTATATGTGATTACATACAAAATTGCAGAATTTGTCCTTTTTTACTTTTCATAACCATATAGCAAACTAAACGAATTAATTTAAAATATTTTTCAAACTTCCAGTTTATTATAATTCAAGTTTTAATTTTTTTTTTCATTATTTATGTTTGTACGTTGAAGAAATTTAACTCTATAAATAAGAAAAAAGTGTTACAGATCTAAATTTATTTTATTATTCTTGAAGATTAAATTTAAATGTATTATGCAGCACAATTTTTGTATCCTTTTTCCAGAGATCAAACAAATAAATCTGAAATTAAAATATATTTACCAAAATTGGAAATATGGTGTGAATTAAAATAATTTCATTCATAATTGTAGCAGTTCGTAATAAATAATTTCAAATCAGAAAAATAATCTATAGTGCAAAACATTTATAAAATATATGAAATCTAAAAAATATTTTAAACTAATTCGTTTAGTTTGCTTTATGGTTATGAGAAGTAAAAAAGGACAAATTCTGCAATTTTGTATGTAATCACATATACTTCACAAGCACTAGTAGAAATCAGTTTGTTATAATACATTTTTTTTTCCTTAGTGAACTCAAGTCGGTTTCAAGTCGACTAAAGTGAACATGAAAAAATCAACTCGGTTAAAAGTCGACTCGAGTGAACACGAAAAAATCAAGTCGGTTTCAAGTCGACTAAAGTGAACACGAAAATATCAACTCGGTTAAAAGTCGACTCGAGTGAACACGAAAAAATCAACTCGGTTAAAAGTCGACTCGAGTGAATACGAAAAAAATGAGTTCACTCGAGCTGACTTAAAAACCGATTGAAATTTTAGTGAAGTGAAGTGAGTTTGCTTCATCGACTTCGACCTCTGGTAATAGTTTCCAAATTTTCAACTTAAAATTTAAAAAAAAAACTTATACTTGAGGAACAGTAACACTCAAAACTTCGGAAAAACCAAAAAAAATGCAGACTTTTCCTTCATAAAAATACAATGTGATTCCGCAAAAAACAATCATTTTTTTTGTATTTTAAATGAGCACCTAACACCTACCTTGAAATACACACTTAACATAATTTACATTTTTCATTTTATTTCCATTTTTGCTATCTTTCCATGAACAGTAAATTTAACATGATGAAGTAACATAAATTATGCTCAACTTGCCTGTTCCTCCTGCTGATGCTATTTCTGAAATAAAAAATTGAATCCGAAAGGTACGAATGCAAAGACTTCTCATCTCTGACCGTTCATCGTTTTGTGCGAGTGTATTTGTATGTGCTGTGGCTGTGATGTTAAATTTGTTATCGCTATTAAAGCATTCAGACGAAAGTTTCATGTCATTTTTCATGTCTTGTACTAGACGCTCATACTGTGTAGTTGGCTATACATGTATAGGACTAAAACCTTACGATTTTCATTCCTTTTTATACATTCATTGTAAGCTATGAATCTTTTAAACATGAAAATTCATCTCTCACAATTTTTTTTTGCCTTGCTGTGATGAAATAAAGGCAATCTTATACAGAAGTAGCGAAAGCGGAAGTTGGATTTGAATTTGAAAATAATGTTGGTGCTGAATGGCTGAGGAGCATTTTAAATTTGTTGAAATTGGAAATAAGTTTTTGGATATGATTCTGAACCTTTCTACTTCCCTGTGTCTAACGTTTCCATTTAAAACCTTTTAAGATCCTTCCTTTTCTTAAAAAATAAGTATATTATCAAGAATGAGGTCTTTACTTAATTGTGATCTAAATAGAACTACTTGTTGCTATGTTCTTACAAAAGCTACTATGAAATGCTTCAGGAACACATAATAAAAGCAAAGTACCTATCCCGAATAGCACAAGTTGGTTAATCGAATAGAAATCAGGCACAAAGTGGGGATAGCTCTGACACGATGCTGGATTCGATTGTGCTATTCAGGTGGTCTTCTATGATGGAACCTGAAATACAACCTGCAGCTAAGCTTTGTATACCCTACTTAAGGGTCAAAGTCAAGCTACAGAAAAACATTTTAAATATGTATAACCGAATAGAACAAGTCGGATAATCGATTTCGTTTCGATTATCAGACTTGTGTTATTCGGGATGGTCAAAGCAAACCCAAGGCACCTTCAATTGAGAGTCAACATTTCATTTTATTTTACAAAAAATATGCTAAAAAGCATGAATATAGCAGGAATCATTAATTTAATTTGAATAATCATGAATGAATATTTTTTCTTCAACTTCCTTTCCTGTTCTTTTTTCAATATTAGAAATCCGATCTTCATGTAAATCTGATTAAATTTTCTTCTACTTTTTTTTACATCCTCTCACTTACTTACTTTCTTTTCATTCTTATCATTGCACGTTGTATTTGATTTCACATTCTATCTGTGCTGTTCCTACTGTATACATCGTATATAGGATGAAAAAAAAGGCAAAAAAATGTTAGATACAGCAAGGTATTCTCCCATCTCTTCTTTTTCAGCTCATCCTGATGACTTTTTGAAGTACCATTCTTGCTTCTTCATCTCCTTGCTATTCTCATCAAGAAAGTTCTTTTTATGCACAAGTATTAAACACTTACAGCTTACCTTCCTACATTCAATGCAGGATCAACATAGATGCGGATTTGATGGAAGTTAGAATTAAATTTTAATGGTTTTGGTTTTAAAAAAAAAAGTAAAATTAAATCGTTTAAAGTTTTCAAATTGAATTCCAAGAAATTCATTATAAAAATTATTTATTAATAAAAATAGTGAAATTAATTTTAAAAAAATTAAAACTTTAAATTGCTTACTTCTTTTGCTGTGGCGCACGTGAACCCATTGACTTAGAGATCATCTGAAGACAGCTTCATCCTTAGAAACCTTCTGCCAGTTCGGGATATTAAGGAACCTAGCGTCCTTTTCAACACATCCAATCCACGAGTTCTTCGGTCTTTTAATTTTTTTAAATTGAAACTTTCAAAAATTTTAAATAAAGTCAACCAAACTTCACAATAGTCTCCTAAAAGTGCACTTCTTCTGCTTCTTCAAATTGATTTTTCCCTTATTCATTCATTTTATCATCTTACCTTCTTTATCCTTGAAAGATTTTTATTGAAATGGATGAGATTTTTATTTTGTTTTAATTTAATGCGAATAAAAGAAAAGATTTTTCTTATTTAATATTAATTTCTTTCTCATTCCTCGATGTCATTGCAACTGCATGAATATCCAAAAGAATTTAATATATTTACAAGTGTTATTGAAAATTGTCATTTTGTTGAACTTTAATAGATCAAAAAGGTTGCTAGAGAGGATCTTGATGCTAATACGATATAAAGTTAAAATTGTGAATATCAATATTTCATGAAAAAGCTGTTTCAAAAAAGAATAAAAATCATTTAAGGTAAAACTGCAGTAGTCAAGATCGTAGATATTGGAGAAGAAGATATTGGTCAGGGGTCAACGATCTACAGGTGACCTGACATTCAATAAAATAAAAATTGCGCGTCTTTTGAATAATGTGCATCAAAAAAAATCAATAAAACGCATTTATAATGTCTAATTAGAATTCATTATCATATTCAGCAGTAATAACTAGAATAAAGTAGATAAGCTCTCTACGCTTATGGAAATATTCACATATTTTTAAACGAATGAATCATTTAAATGTGAATGTGAGCAATTTTATCTCAAAATTGCTCATAAAATTGTTATTCAGAATGTTATTCATTCGACTGATAACTTATGAATAAAGCTTTTGTGTCTGAAATTATAAAAATAATCATAATCCATTCTAGTTGATTCAGTTTCGAGAGCAAGTCGAGTTTTAAGAATTCATCTAAGAATTATTTTTTAACGCTGTGCTAAAATTAAAAAAATATAATGAAGTTTTTGGTCGGTGTTATTTTTTTGGTGTGCATTTTTAATGCAGAATATGTACGAACTCAAGAAATATCTGAAACTACTGATTCAACATCAAGACGTAATACTACAACAACTTCTACAACCTCGGAACCAGACACAACTACTTCTACAACTTCAAAACATGAAACAACAACTTCAACAACCACAAAACAGCATACAACAACTCCAACAACCACAGAATCTCACACAACAACAACCACAAAACCTGAAACAACAACATCAACAACCACAAAACCTGATACGACAACTTCAACAACCACAGAACCGGAAACAACAACTTCAAAACCAGACACAACAACCCTGTCAACTTCCTCTACAACTCAAATTATTACAACAACCGAAGGACCAATCAAACCGCCCTCTATTTGGGCAACAATGATTTTGATCTTGGCATCCTGTTTAGTAGTCATTGTCGTTGGAATTTCTTTATACAAATTTTTCAAGGCTAGAATTGAACGAAGTAGTTATGATCCAGTTGGTAGTTCTGCTTGAAATGGTATTTTGATTAATTTTAATTGAGCATCTATCCACAAATGACGTCATTGAAATATGTTTTTAATTTTTAGACTATATTCTGACATCATAATACGGAGTCATTTACGTACGATAATCATCATTAAGGGTGAGGGGGTCTGCGATATAAATATTTTGATATGATAATAATATTGTGACAAGAGGAGGGGGAGGGAGAGGGGGGCTACTAGTAAATATTAATTATGACTATTTTATACTGTCCCTGTGAATTGTTCGAGATTTTGCTTTGATATAGTTTTGTTAAGAAATTGCTCATTTATTATATTCGTATTTTAGGAGAGGGGGTCTACAGTCTTAACTATTATTAACACTTTAAATGATGATAATGATTAAATTTGGATAATAAATAAGCCAAATGGGCTAAGATAGAAAAATTTTTAAACTTTAAATAAAACTTAAAACTTTCAACAATTTCAAAGAAAAAAAAATCATTTCCGCTTTTACAAACAAACCAAAAATGCTCTATTTGCACTGCCAACAATGTTGAGGGTCTGAGGAACGTGACATTTTGGATGAAAAAATTTTCTACCACTTGAAGCATTCCACTCCTTTTTTCTAGATTTCATGTTGTTGAATATTCCGAAGGATTTTTTTTATTTCATTTTTCAGAAGTGAAAGACGAGATTGAGATGAGAGAAGGATAAAGGATCTGCATCTTATGAATGGCTGCTTTTAAAAATACTTCATAATTACTAATTGCAAGGGCAATCTGTGTTGTCCCTTGAAATTGTTTTGGTTTGGAATTTCAAAAGACTTTGCTGCAGGGGAGGGAAGTGTGACATCAAAACATCAGAAGTCAGTACCTGAAATAAAATTTAAACAACTCACAACCCCCTCCGCCTCTAACGTGTTCAAAAAATCTGACAAATCTCCCACAAGCACCTCAATCGGATATGACAACAAATTTGCAATTCTAATTTTTCCTCTCTCTTTAATTATGCGTATGACATTCACGAGACTTTAAAGTCAATCCTTCTTCCGTACACACGGAGACATAATCTCGAGTTATAAGTGCCACTTAACAACTTTTGCCTTAACTTTTAAAAAAACTTCATTGTATGCATTTTTATTCCACTTTCGTGCCTTAAATGTAATCATTTTTTTCCACTCCTTCTTCTCTCAGTGTCTCTTTTTATATCCGTATTCTTCATTCTATGTTTCTGTATCTACAGTTTTTTTTTCTGTTCTTCAAGCGATAATGCAGACAAGTACATGAGATATTTGCTTGACGGAATGAAGAAAAAAAAAATTAAACAACAAAACGTGGAGGAAAAAAATGAAACGGAAGATGGAGGAAAGTTGTAAAAGATTTAAAGGGGATGATGAGCTAGTGAGGTTTAATAATAATAATGTGTGAAGGGCCCAGCCTTTCAGCTGGAGGCACTGCAATTTAATTTAAAATGAGGTTTAGTTTTGTGGATATTATTAAGTAAAATTTTATTTTTTATAGATTTATTGGAAATAGTACAATTGATGATAAGAAGCCCTACGATTCAGAAGATCAACAGAAAGTGATTCCGAGCAGAACGGTGCTGCTAGCCACAACATATCAAGCCACTAATGCCATTTCTTCGCTGTTATTATCCAAGTAAATTTATAATCAATATTTACAGTTTCAAAAAATCAATTTCATTCCAAAAATCATCGCCCTAAAAACAAACAGAATAAGCACCAATCATATAAGATGAATGCAAAGTACAGATGAAGAATTAAAAAAAAATTCCCCACTAGATAAAGTAAAACGCGACAGAGAATGATGAAATATTTTTATTTTTATTTTCCTTTCTTCCTTTCCAGGTGATGTATGCCGGATAAAAAGCACATTAAGCTCCATTTCAGTACTTTTCTGTCACCTTAGAAATAAATTTACGTTCAACAAAAACACACTCGACTCCCACGTTCCCTCAACTCGTGATGCTCGTTTTTCTTTGTTGTTGCCTTATGATGTTGATATTTCTTGTTCATCTAATCACATTTAAATACATTTCCTTACTTCTACTTCTTTTCATTTTATCTAATGTTAATTTTATGTGCAGCATTGTGTATGATGTGATGCGATGTCTTTTTACAGATGATAAAATTGTGTAAATCCATGCAAATGGAAAATTGTTTGGATTTTTTGTGTCAGCGAATTTTTAATTCTTATAAACTTTTAAAATTCAGATTGTGAATTCTTATTGTAGAACTGCATATAATCCATCCTTTGGATGTATGCCTTATTTACAGGATTCTCAATAATTCATACCATTGGTTTTAAGTACCATAATACTCCATCATTGTTGAATTATTCTGCATCCATAAATAACTCACTTAAAATTTTCCCAACAAAGCGAATTAAAATTTTCAAAAACAACGTGAATATTCGCATCAAATATTTCACAATGATAATTACTAAACAAATAGTCAACGTAATGGAAAAATTCTGAATGAAGAGCAAAAAAAGCCAGCACACAACTACAAAACGTTTTCAAGAACTTTCGACATATCAGCAAATAAAAAAATATGAAAATTGAATTAAAAGCACTTCTGATGTTGGTAAAAAGTGCAAATGAAAATCACAAAGGTACTCTTTGGCTGCTTTTTATTACCTGCCAAGGGTGTAGCCAGGAATTTGAAGAGAGGGGAACAAAAAAAATTAATTTGGAAAATTCAGAGGGAAGGGGGGCAAAATGAAGAAATTTCTGTTAACGTCGGGAGATTTGTCCCTCAAATCCCAACCCCTCCCCTCCCCTGGTAACGCGCCAATTACCTACACTTTTTTTTTTGTGTTGTGAAGATCTCATACAATTATGTGCTTTTATAATTTTAAATAATAACTTTTTAAAATGAAAAGTTCTTAAGTAGAACAAGTATTTAGACCTAAAGGATGAAAATAAGTCATTTAGTTACCATACAAGCTATGCAAAGGAGTTGAAAGAGTTCCTACTGAATCTCCTCCGAATGGCACAAGTCGGTTTATCGATCAGAAATCCGGCACTAAGCTAGTAAGACTCTGTCATGGTGCTGGATTTAAATCGAAGCTATTCTATTCGATTAACCGACTGGTGCCATTCGGGTACATACACTTCGAACTTGGTGAAGTTTCCAAATGACTTTCTTTGTTGGATCGACTTCGGTACAACAGATTCTATTATTGAACAGGATCTCAGTGCCTCTTGTCGCTTGGCTATACTCTCTCACGTTATTATCATTATGGATCGACCTGCGTCCTCCGTCCTTCTAGTCATTAATCTCGATTTTAGGTACGATTTCTGCATAAAAAGTGAATAAAAAAATTAAGAATATGTCCTTTCACAAACTGTCCCTCATAACATAATATCAAAATAATTCCATTCCATTATATTTCTTAACATAAAAAACTATTTATAAAGTGAGAGAAAAAGCGCAAAAAAACTGAAAGAAGAGAAAAAATTTATCGAAAAAGTTTTAATGAAATTTTCATTAATTACCTCATTTTGGATGTTATTATGCGGTTTTAATCAAAACAGTAAATTTATATGGAAATGAAAATGAGCTGGAAGAAGCTTATCAAGCAGTAAAGATCAGAAACCAATTTTCAATTAACATTCACATATTCATGCAGGAGCATACGTAGTGTTATTTAATGAACGTAAATGCATGGACTTGATTTTATTATGTTTTGAAACTCAAAATAATGAATATCTTGATAATGAGTATAATAATAGGTGTGTTAGAGACATGGGAAGTACATTGAGTGTATTTTATAGACGAGATAATAAGTTGAAAATTTAGGGGATAAGTAGAGATAAAAATTGGGTATAATGAGGTTCTGCTAGTTTTATTTTGCTGATTTAATGCTTGCAGTAAATTTTTAAATTAGATTTTCTATTCAACTTAGTAGCTACTTTAATGATTTATCTAGAATCTATTCGAGAGTAGAACGGAGAGATTTGCGAGGGTTATGACATCTTTGCCTATTGACAAAAACCTAGCCTAGAACTCTTAAATAGCTGCGGATGCATTAGATTGTCGCTAGCTATGTCTTTTATCAGATAAAATGATTAAAAGTCCTCAATGAGTGTCACTGATGTGGACTTTCTATCATTCGTCATTCAATCATAAATTGACTTTTCAGAAAGTCTCATAAATGAGAATAGTGATGGTCAAGCATCATTATGATGATTTGATTATTGCTATGGATCTATTTTATGCTTATAGAATAATATTGTCTGATTTTTGGATATTATTCATCAAACACTATCTATTGAAACTATGCAAAACTAAAAAGGGCTGTTTATAAATAACCAGTGTTGATACCTAGCACTTGACTTTGAAAAGGTGGACCTAAGCGTAGGTAATTTTATAATCAAAGGCATAAGCCTTTGCCTTTTTCAGAGGCAACTGTTTTGTTGACTGCCTTTGTTATGCCTTTTTAAGAAGTTTAAGTACTCCTTAAGAGGGCTTTTTCCCCTTGTAAAAGTAAACTTATCAGAATGAAAAAATATAAAAATGTCTGTTGAAGGAATGTAAAATAATTTAGTCCATTCAATAAAGGATGACAATGTCATCATTATTGAAATATGAAAAAAAAAAAAAAAACTTTGTATCAACACTATAAATGATGTCCATTTAAAATAAGATTTTGGAACTCTCTCCCTCCACCCCTCACTCCCCCCCACACTTTTTAAACTCTTAACCCTCTAAATGTTGGATATCACTTATGAAATGATTACAAGGAACCAGATACACAAAATTTCTAAACAACACTGAACATGAAAGACCAATCAATTAAATTCCTGTATGTATTCCTGTATGGACATCCAATTCAAATATACATGAAGAATATTTCATAAAATCTCTGAAAACAAAAGCTAGTCCCATAGATTCATTGGACAAAAACAACGACGGCAATGATGATTCAATGGGAACAAAATTATCCATGCTATTTTATTGATGATGTCGAAGTGAAAATAAATCCTATATTTGTAATCTCCAAATGCAATTCCAATAAATAATGATAAATCACGACATGTAATTACAAATGATCGAGAAATGCTGAATATTGACGAAAAATTCAGCAGGAAATATTTAACTTTTTTTTATTGCTATTGCAATAAGCATGCTCTATCCTTTTCCACCTCAATTCTCCAATGGTGATGCAATCAATGTCAAATGCAGATTAATGTCAACTCTACTTTACATTTTTTGCGCTTATGTAAACACTTTTTTTTGCTCTCGATTTTTATTTCACGTTCATTTCATGCAAATGATTCAAATGTTTCTCAGTCAATGGGATGCAGAAGGCAGTAGCGTACTAAGTGGAGAGTTGCAGCAGGGGGAATGACTTGGTCTAGGAACGGGGTTAAAAATTTTTTAAGAGGAAGAAGAAATCTATTTTCAATACATTTCCATTTTAAAGACATTCAATGCGCATTAAACAACTCATTTTAAGTTAATTCTTCAAACTCTCATTCCATTTTACTTTGAACTCAAATCTATCATTTTCACTCATTGCAGTTCTTTGTTTGAAAAATGGTACGATTTGTTTTAAAAACCTTCTTTTTTGTTGCCATTTTGTGAAATACTTAAGATGATTCTCTGTTTGAACTAGATTGTGAATTGCAAAGTATTCAAATTGAATAAATGAACTTGAGATTTTTGTTTGATCAGCAATAGTGAAGGAATTTAATTTGGATGCACTTTTTTCATTTCGGTTTTTTTTCGAATTTTAATTTAAAATGATTTTTTATATTTTGAAAGAGATTTGTTGCTATTGAAAATCGGTACCTAGACATACCTTATCACTCTAGAACTCTTTTTGGATGAAATTGAAGACACAAAATAATTTTAGTTTAATTTAAAAGTCATAAAATATTAAATTCTGCCTTTATTTATGATTTTTTCAACTTCTTCAAAACTACAACACAGTAATAAACCTTTTGTAGGATCTCTGCGAATTTCTTCATCTCTCAAATCCTCATTAAGCCATGAGTATTCATTAGTGTCGCATAAATCATTACAAATATTCAATTGCTGGTCAAATTCTTTAGTCCGAATCGATGGATAGTTAAAGCCAATGAATGAGAAATGTTTATCTGTTCCAACTTCAATAATCTTCCAAATAATCTCAGGAATTGGAAGTTTATCATCTGATGCTAAATAAATGGTTTCATTTTTGCTTGATATTTTACTCGGCAACTCGAGAAGTCTGGAACCTCCAGTATGGATAGTAACATCCCCACCAAAATCATGACCACGAATGCTCATTTCAAGGAAGTTCCAATTAATGTTATTAGATCCTGAAAATTGTGGATTGATGTTCATGTAGAAGAAAGTTGCAAGTTGTTGTGCAGCAAATATAAAATCAGCTTTTGGTGCCATGTGTCCTTTAGTGATGAAAGATCCTTCATTGAAATATTTTCTTGCATTTTCTTGTCCAAGCAGCTTTACCATTTTATTATAAATGTCACTTCTTTGATAGAATCTACTGACTCCAGGTCCAAGTGGATGCTTTCCATCCTTAAATGCAATTCTACTGACTTTTTGGTGACTTCTAGAATCGATGTAAGGCAATTTGTGAGCCACATGAATTACTTCAACACGATTGTCATAATGAATGTCAATTAATGGCAAGAACTGTCCATTTGGCATGCGGAAACCAATTTGATGGTGTCCATCTTCGACGATCATGTCTTCGCTGTCAGGAATCTGAGAAATATGGGATTAAGTTTTAAACATTTTGTAAAAATCAAGTAGATTAGAAATGTCACACAATGTATTACAGCGTGTCACATAACACATCGCACATCGTGTCACAGCGTATTACAAAGTCAAATCTTCCTCAATTCTAAAGTTTAACATCCTTTAAGAATAGTCTACAATGAACGTCAATTTAAACTTACTGTAGCGCATCCGAAATTCTCAAAATTAACAGTCGTTCCCATATAGTCAAAGAACTTTCCTCTCTGACATGTGACAGTTATATCCGGCACTTGAGCACGAACATTCACAAATCTATTTCGACTTCCACTACAAACAAGCCTCAATTTCTCTCCAGATTTGACAAAAATGTCTCCGTTCTTGTCAACAGTGATGAATTTTGGTTGATCAGTTGGTTCCAGAACCAATGGCCACTTTTCTTGTCCTTTTTGTTCATTTAACATGTGAACTTTTTGAACATTAAGTATGCATGGACTTGCTTCAATCAAATTATTGCTTCTTAAATTCAACTTTTTCAAATTCATGAAATATCGCAGATTGTACAATCGAGAATCTTCAAAATTATTGATTCCATTTTCGTCACTTTCAGTTGAACTTTCACTGAAGCTTGACGCTTGTTCAGAATTTTTAAAGAATATCAGCAGAACTGACAAAGTCACTAAAAGTTTGTTCATTTTCGAACGTTTAGAAGTAAACTGATTTGTAGAAGCTAAATTTGATTTTATTTATATGAATAATTGTAAGGCATAGTTAGCAGTTGTTCAGTTTAATAAGGAGGAAGGGGGTCTGAGATTTTGCGACACATCAAATTTATTTTGTTTGAAAATTTTGTGACAATTAAGGCGAGGGGGTTTTAAAAAATCTCTTAAAATGTGGTGATGTGGGATGGTGATGCTACCAATGCTTCCATTTGAATTAGCTTTAGGTGCTCAAAAATTTTTGATTTGCCACCGAGTGACGAAAAACCTTGACATCACTAAAGAATTGCCCCTTGCAGTATAATTAGAACATATGTCGTAGTTGATGCTGAGCTTAGGAGTTTCGCTTTTCAGCGAAGTTGTTTGTTTTTATTGCAAGCAGTTCACTTACCTAATGCATTAAAGTAATTTTAGTATAAAGAAAAAAATCTGCTGATTCCGATTTTAAAGTAAATTTTGCTTAGATTTCAGGATTTAATAAATTTTAAATAAATGTGTCAAGGATTAGTTTAGAAATTGCAATGAACTTGATTTTGTGTTTATTGACATCAATAAAAATTTACATGACAGCTCCAAAATAATCACAATTTGCAAATTCAGCATCCAGTGTTTAATAACCTCAAAATTCAAATTTCCAAATCCTCCCTTTTATTCACATTTGATCTTAAAAAGAAACATTTTTGTGGTAAAACATTAAATTGCGTAGCGAGCAGTAAGAATTTTTTATTGCTCTTTATAATTTTCAAGGAGCTCTGAACTTTCATCATAAGGGCAATGACAACATCTTTTCCTTTTGTGTATGTGTGTTGAGTGAATTACTTTCAACATGAAATATCATAGAATAGACTTGAGTTCTGAACAAAAAACACAGAATTTGATAGAATGGGATGCGAGAGTGAAGGAAAGAGTGCAAGGGGTGGTTATTTGCGAATTATGGGCTATACTGAGAAAAGTCAGGATTATCTAAACGAAAAGTTGACTTAAACTAAGCTGCTCCAGCTTTTCTACGCTAGTTTGTGCTTTTATAAAATGTCTTAAGCTTCTTTAAACTGTTTTAAGCTTCTCTAGCCATTCATGTCCTCCTCTAGACTGTCTTGAGCATCACAAGGCTTTCTTGGACATCTCAAGGCTGTTTTATACTTCTTCAGTCTGTCCTGAACTTCTCTAGGCTTTCATATCCTCCTCTAGACTGTCTTGAGCATCACAAGGCTTTCATGCCCTTCTCTAGACTGTCTTTGTACTTCTCCAGGCTGTCCTGAACTTCTCTAGGCTGCCCTTTGTTAACAATACTTACCGTTTCAACTTCCCCAACAAATTTTCAACCCCTGTCGAAACAAAAAATCGAGACATCAAAAATTCTCATCATCCTCGTCGTCAGAAAAAAGTATATTTTTTTATTCCACTCATGTTGCAAACATTTTCACCGTGCTTGATTTTTTCAAATTGTGGTTTTGTCTCTTTCTTCTTCTCGACTTCTTCATGAGCTGTATGCTGAGGCAATTTTCCATTTCTTTGTCTTTTTTTTACCTTTTCCGTTAATGTCATCATTTCTATTTTCCCACATTCACATTTCTTTTCCGTTGCTCTCTTATTTCTGTTGTTTGTGTACCTTTTTCATTTCGGTACCACGTTTATGAAATTAGAAAAGAGACTTTTTTTTTCTTTCTAATTCAATAAACTTTCATTTTCCGTGCGTGATATCTTCAATTTTTATGTAACTTCTTCTTCTTTTTGTGTGGGTTTACTCTACATTTATTTTTTGTTTTGGTGCGTGATATCTTCAATTTTTTTATTCGACCTGCTTCTTTGCTATGAGTGTTGACGAATTTTTGTTTCTCTTTACTTTTTATTCGGTATTTTAGTCTCCTTTTCTTTAGAACTCAGCCTTGAACTTTTCAGTGACACAACTTTAATTTAATTTTGTTGATTTATTGGTTTTTGTAAGTTTATTGTGGATAATTTTTATAGGTTTTTGAAAAATGTATTAAATTATTAAAGTTTTATTCGTTTAATCCAATCAATAGCTTAAAGATAGAGTTCAGAATTACACGAATACGTCTTTGGCCGGTGTGTAAGTCTACTTAAGTCAAATTTTATTCATACCTCAGAGTTAAGTTCTATTATAATTTGAACTAGCTTTGATTTTGCGGGAAGCAATTAAAAAACTGCTTCAGATCATATTTACATTCGATCCAGCATCACACGATATTTCTGATGCTGTATTCTTCATTTTATTTAAAAATACAAACATTTTACAAAAATGACACAAAAAAATCAAATCCCAACATTGAGAAGGTGAAACCCCAAAAAATAAAACTGTTTCTACAATTTCATAATTATCTCATTATGGCACCAAAAAAATAACACATTCACATATTTAGTAAAGACTATTTGTTCATGCATCGTATGTTAATAATGATTCTTCTAAAAAACTTTTTTAATTGTTTCACCAACAACTCCAATGAACGGTAAAAATTGCCAGTCATAAAGGTATATGTGGAGGGAATTCTATGCGTGAAAGTGGATTAAAGTTTCTCCATTTCCATAATATTTGGCATTAAATGTAAGGAAAAGAAAAGTACTTAAAAGTAGTCTAATAATCTAGAAATGGAGGGGGTTTTGTGGTTGGTGAAGCGCATTGAATGAACGATTTTCAGGGGGATTGTGTTAATTGTATATGGAATTTAAGGTTTAGGTATGTCTGAATACCACTTGGATGGTGTAGTAAATGCATAAGGGAAAATTAATAATATTAAAGGTACCCTGATTTTGTATTGAATATTTTCAATTTTCAGGAGGGGTTTTTAACATTTTTTAATGAAAGCCTGAGTCAAGACCGTAGCCGGTGGGGTCCTTAGGTGCCCGGGCAACCCCCTCCCTTGAAATTGAAATTTCATACAATTTTTTTTGAAAAAATTAGCTTTTACTAATCGAAAAGAGAAGGTTTTATTGATTTTAGACATTAAAAATTTTTTTGGGCACCCCATTGAAAAATCCTGGCTATGCGCCTGGCTTGAGTCACAACGTACAGAATTAAAGATCGCAAAGATCAAAATTGAACAGTTCCACATATTTTTGAGTTTTAAACCGCCCAATTACCCATTCTCAATTAGAGCAATTCCTATACTTTTCAGATGTAAAAAATCAGGCATCAGCGTATTCTTAGGCCCCTAATCCCACTACCCATAAATTTCCTTAAAAATTCTGCAGCAAAAATTGAACGACGAGAACTTCCTCATCATTGATCAATAAAAATATTGAAAACGTCTCAATATGCTATTCAAACTTTTTTTCTCTCTCCTTACTTCCTTGACTTTTTTTTCTTGCTTCAATTTTTCAAGTGGCTGATGTCGGCAGTCAGAGAATTTTTTTTTCATATTTTATCCTCTCGATTATATCGTTGCATGTATACACAAAAAATCCGCAGATTTAAAAACCATTCAACGGTGAAGTGGAAAAAAGAATTAAGTAAATGGATTTTTTTTTTAGTTCAACATATCTCACCCCATGCCTGTTATTTCTTTAGAGCAATAATGCAATGAAATGCAATACATATATGCTCACGAAAGCAAAAAAAAAGTGAGTTAGCATGCATGCAAAGAGAAAAGGAAAACAAGCGTGAAAAGCTGGTAAAAATACATTAAAAATTCATGCTTCGAAAACGGTTGTCGAGTGCAATTCTTTTTTTGTTTCTCAGTACACAGTACACAGTACTGAGACATGAAAAGCTCTGGAATAAATGCATTTGAACCTTGAACATGTATTGAAAGATGCTTTAAGGGCATGGTACAGAAGGAATTGAGGTATGAAAACAAAACAAAATAACAAATGCAATGAAAATGTCGAAGAAAATTGTTTTGAAATAACTTTTAAAGTGATTTTCGTATTCTCAACCTCTAAATGCGAGGTAAATCTTGTTGGAAATGGAACTGAATGAGATTTTATCTGGGGTTACTGTTAAGCATTTTGGGTGGGGAGTCTTAAGGAAGCTGATGGATTAATTGAGACTTTGAGCTTAAATCTGCACACTTAAAGTTCTTAATGGAACTTACTTACTTACTTCCTTGGCTGGGCCGCACGTGGGCCCATTGCCGCGCTTAGAGATCGTCTGAAGACAGCTCTATCCTTAGACACCTTCTGCCAGTTTGGAATATTAAGGACCCTAGCGTCCTTTTCAACACATCCAACCCACGAGATCTTAATGGAGCATACTTAAATAAAATCGAAGCTGCGCATCATCTGGCGGGGGTAGTGTGGATATGGATCGAAGAGCATATCTGTAGTAGATAGGACTGAACTTTGGGCTCGTGTTGAAACTGCTTATATGTGTATGACGGAGGGTCGAAGTGTGATTAGTACCTCAGTGGACGAGTAGCAGTGATCTCTGATCGAGTGGTCAGAGATAGCCTCGTTTGAGTTCGATTCCCATCGAACCCGACTTGTTTTACATTAGTTTACACATATGGGAGTTATAACGAGATCTACAGGTAGGAATATTAAAATGACAGCCAAAATCAAGATTTGTTCACATTGTCGCCTTGTCCCGAAAAAAAAAAACAATTTAACTTCCCTTCCTAAATTCAATATTCTTATTCTTCCTGTAAAATACTATATAAACATCGTAAACATACAGGTACAAAATAAACTATTTCTCCTCTCAATCTTCATAATCATTCTAGCAACGTTGACGACAATGAAATGAAAATAAGGAAAAAAACCCCAAGAATATCACTAAAAAAATGAAAATTTCGCTTTATTGCATCCTGATCGAGTAAATATATTTTTTCAATCTTTTTTTTCCTTCGATTTTCATGCAACAAAATTTTTTTTACGGTCGATGCTTACAACATTGAAATTATTGAATTGGAAGTATACAAATTCACAATTCTGTTAGATTCATATAAATGCAAATCCAAACAAGCATAAGACAGAATGAAAAGATGGAGAAAGGATATAAAAAAATTTGCAATGTTCATTGTGTATTTGTACATATTTGAATATGAA